GTTGGGAAAAATTGGCAAACGCGTATATGCGTCCTTAGTCCACACCGATAGCTTTCGCCAGACGCATGTATGCGTCCATAGCACTCTAAGGGTTAACGTGTACATCGCATGGTCTTCACTGACCAAGTCAGCGCATGAAGTTGATCCGAATCCTTCTGACAAACTTACCTACCGGTGAACAAACTAAACAGGATCTTCCACCATTTAGAAAGAACAAAATTACACTCGTATATGTAGAGTTCTGTTACACGTAAGAACGCTGGAAATTGTTTGGGGTACGTGCTAAAGTGAGAGAGAGAGACAGAGAGAGAGAGAAAGAGAGAAAGAAAGAGAGAAAGAAGGGAGTCCTGCCTGAGAATTCTTAGTGACCAATCCTACTATTCGATGTTCGCCACCGCTCGCTGCTCTGCTAGCAAAACCTGCGATGCGCGAATGACAAAAAAACATTGTACATATAGGTAAGGCCGGTCGGCTGAGTGACATCATTGTTATCATTTAGTACGTTTGTTCTTGTCGCTGAACCCCGCAGACGAGCGCCCCGAGGTCCCTGAGGCCCAGAGGACCCGGGTCATGGACCAAGGTGAGTCCTAGTTCTGCACATCAAACACACCACTGTCACGTCATTTTTACGTTATTTCTTCCTCTCAAATCTATCGCTTATCGTCATTATCCATTCGTTTGTCACGGGGATCCTTGTGAATTCTTTTACCACGTTAACACGGTACTCGTTAGAAACATACGCGTGTAAAGCTTGGGAAATTTTCTCATCGAACATCTCATCGATTTAACGTATTTCTTTCGTTCGTTTCGAGATACTTTTTCTACTTTTCTCTCTTTATCGTTATCTCTATGTTTCATTCTCTTAACGTACTAATTAATAACGAACACCTGATTTTGAATATACGATACAGACGTTCTTGGCTAACTTGATTAAAAAGTTGTTTTTGCTTTGAGAAAGTTGCCCAAGATATACATGGAGTGAAAGAGATTTACGAGAGAAAAACGTCGTAACCTAATTTGTTTTTATAAGTTTTTCAACGATCGCTTTGCAACGTGAGATATCGCCAAATAATCGTCCGTCTATTCAGAGGCCTCGATTGCTCTATAAACTGTGAACGCGATAATGGAAAACATCGAATCGCAAAGATATTCCTATCCGACGATATTTTCTCTAATAAATAGAAATGTACAAAGCGAGAAATATTGTTACAAAGTATCATTCTGTTAATATAGAGACGTGGAAAAATCCGCAGGAATCCCCGTAGCAGGCTTACTCCAAAAACTGTTCTTTTCATTTCTCATATTCTCTATATAGCTAAAAACATGTATATTTATATTTCAGAAGAAAATATCGATTTCCTTCGTGACAAACGACTTCGATTTATTCATACAGTTTCAGGGAACGATAAACTCGTTTAAAACGATTCTATTCTATAAGTACGTTCGAATCTATCTAATTAATAATAAAAAAAAAGAAATAATCTTTCTGTAATTATTTTCTTAAAATCGTGCGTCACCACCCATTCGTTCATCTAAATCGATAGGATCTTGTAAAGAATTTTTGTAAAGATTTGAGAACGGAAAGAGGCAGCCAACATATACCGAACTTACAATTCGCATTTATTCTAATATCATGCATGTGCTGTATAAAAGAAAAGAGAATGGAAGAAAAGGAAAACGTGTATGCGTCTGTGTGTGAATCTTATTGTTTGTTGGGTGGTGACGGTCTTTCAGAAATTATTCTAAAGAGCAAACGTGCTACGTCGTGATAATCAACGAATGTAAATACGAGTCTCTTTTTCTAAATTATCCGCTGCATTAACAAATCCTGCGAAACGATCGCAGATTGTACACAGAGATATAAAATTTTCAGTGTACAACGATATAGAAATAAACGACATGTCATAGTTAAAGGAAAAGAAAAAGAAACGCTATCCTTGTATATAACAATTAACATTAATCTCGCGATTTCGGTGAATGGGCCGATTATTACCATTACTTTGTTGATTCAGTGGAAAGAACAAAGATTCGACGAGGATACATACTACATATTTTCCGTTTTTCACAGTATTGAAAGGCAATCCTGCTCCGGCGCATTCTCGACCAACGTTCAAAGATGATCCAACCGATACGAAAGAGGATAGCGACGGTGAGATCTTTGTACAATTTTGAAATTTTCTGATCTAATCTTTTCAATTTCTTGATTTAAACAATCGTAATTATATCTTAAGTAACTCATAATAGTTTCTACAACTTTAAGAATCATATTATAGGATTTTCTATTTATTTAGAAATATTAGAAATTAGGCTTTCCAATGATTTCTATATAACAAGTTTATTGATAGATAGATTTGCAATGGATTAAACAGGAAACGATGGTTGTTTAACGCGGAACTAAATACAGTAACGTGCTACAACTAAGACGACTAAATGGGTAATTCACAACTCACAACTCATAGCTTGTTGCGAATTATCGACTAAAGAGCGACCGGTCAGGTCGATACCGCGAACCTTGAATGAATTTAACGCTCAAAGTGGAGCAGATTTGATAGATCGAGTGTTAGTGTAATTTGGCACTTCGTTTGTACTTGTTGTATACGAGCAAAATTTGATGTTCTGAACACGACGGTTGTAAGATCTTGTTGATACTCCCTATCAGTCATTGAGTCTTATCTGTCCATCGTGTCTTCCCGACCGAGGGTTATCCCTGGGATTTTCCCTAATCTCTGAGTCGTCAGGTTTACAGCTCGGGGAGGACAGATAATTCGGAGTTTTCCAATGAATGGAGAGATGCTGTCCGAGCCATAAACGGAAGGCCATTCAAAATCCCGAACGTAGCTTACAACTCATAACAACTCGGCAACTCAGTTCTCGATTCCTCATAACTCGACTCTCAACTCACGACTCATACTTCGTCTCTTCACCACTCGATTCCCCTCCCAGGTAACGACTCCCAGGTAACGACTATCCGTTAATTCGTCCTTCTCCCTTAGGAGTCCCTTTGTCCTTTCTCATAGCCACAACACGTACATGTTCCTCAATTGTCTTCGGTCATGATTACCTAGACCTTTTTTCCGCATAACTATTCGACTGAAGGACCGACGACTCATTGATGGACCGCTCGGCCCATTGAAGTTTCCAGACTCTTTTGGCCTAACGATACCTTAGGCTTTCTCGCAATATCGTTTATGGTTCACATGATATTTCTTAGGCCATTGATCCACGATACTGCAACATTAATAATAAGTTAAAATAGCTCTTATTAAGTGTAAAATGTTCATTGTCTTGCGTTATTTTATTTTTAATTATTACAAATACAAACCTATGTATTTTGAAGGAAGTATGAAATTGATAAAATACCGATATGTAATTTACAGCAAACGATTGTTTAACGGACAGACGATCCGTATTAGAAGACGAGAGGCAACATTCTCAAGAGAAATTTTATGTACCTGAATGTACACCTGACGGAAGGTATCATCGAGTGCAGTGTTATTCTGGTTATTGTTGGTGCGTGTACCAGGATACTGGCAAACCGATACCCGGGACATCTTCCAAAGACCGTACTCCAAATTGTAATCCAGTACCTATTCCTAGCAGACCTATGAAAGGTAACTGAATCACGTTATTCTGCCTTGTTTTACTTATTTATTCCCATAAAAATACGTCTGATCAAATATTTTTAATTTCGGCATTAGGTTGTCCTGAACAAAAGAAACAATTGTTTCTACGAGATTTAATGGACTTAATGCAGAAAAAGATGAAGGCCTCCGGTACAGATTCGGATGAAACGACAGCTAAGTGGCAAGCTTCGAAAGAGGAGCAAATAGCAACTTGGCATTTTGTCATGCTTGATAAAAACAAAAATAAGGTAAGGACAGAAGATGTTTTTGAATGAATGAAATTCTTAAATATTTATGTTAACTTACACTGGTCAGTTTGATAAAACCAGGTGCTCTATTTGTCATATTTCTTCTCTTAGGTTCTAGAGAGGAAAGAATGGAAAAGTTTCCGCACGATGGTAGCGAATAACAGGCAGCTTCAAAGATGCGGAAAAAGGCTTCCTAGATACTGTGATATCAACAACGATAGAAAAATCAGCATGACAGAATGGTTCAGTTGTCTAAATGCTCAACGACCTACGACACGTAATTATGATCATTACAAATACGTATATTTGATTCGCTTGGGAATGCATAATTTTGCAACAATCAGAGTTGTTCTTCTCTTAAATTCGTGAATATTAAATTATTTCAGCTGAAAGTACGGAAAAATCATCAACGAGTAAACCCAAGAGAATGGGCCCAAATCCGTTGGATCAATTTCTTAAAAACGACGATGATTAGAAGTATATGTGATATGAATGTGTGTTCGTCATTTCATCCATATGTTGCAGTGATCATTCGTCTAGCATGTGGATCTCAACGACGGAACTTTCAAAAGAAAGCCAATTACTGTGTTAAAAAAATTTTATTTGTATTTTTATATCCGGTGATAAATATCACTCATATCATTTTATTTTTAATATGGATCATATTTCTGTACCTCACAGATATTGATAATTCGATAGTGTAGTTTAGCATAATGATGATATATATAGCTGTAAGAATAAAAAGTAACAAAGTATTACGGGCATACAGTCGTGTACATATTTAAAAAAATTTTTTCTTGTTTAAGTGCTATGTACTGCTTTCTCATGACAAAGATAGATGCAGACACGTAAAATTGAATGTACAATTGCCGAATGTGTTATTAAACTCGCTAAATGTCTCGCTCTTTGTTCCATGAGTACTACAAACAATTGTTTAATTTAGGTTTAATTAAATTTAATTCGTACATCTTTTAAGATTTCTACCATAATTATGAACTGTATGACACTATCGATTCATAAATCATTGTAAAGTTAAAAATTGTTTGCTGAAATAAATTTTGTTTTAACAAGATATACTTCAAAAGTAGCAATTAATAGTTATTTTTAGTCCAAGAAATACTTTTAGTAAATCTATAATTTACTGGCAGTAATTACTACCTTGTGTTGTTTCGTATTGTATTTACGTGAAATTTAAATAAGTATATTAAAAGATTCCAATATATAATAACATTTGAATTCCTTAGTTGTCAAAAGAATTAAGTCTTACTCCACTTGTCAATTATGGACCTCGTTTGTAAAATTAAAATAAGGAATATATATAAAATTTCGTCTTTTCCTTCATAAATATCAAGGATCGATTAAAATATAATACATAAATAATTGAACAGAAGGAAAGCTGTCAGTTCTGAAAATATAAGGCTTAAATCAGAAGACTGTTTCCATTTGTACAAAATTTATATACATGTATATATATGTATATATGTATATATAAATATATATATAAGTATACATATACATATATATGTGTGTGTGTATAAATATAAGAAAATCTTACATCTTATCCCAATAGTTTGCATAAATTAAAGTCCCAATATTAACTTAAAATCTTATAATTATCGATGAAGTTCAAAGTCAGATATCATGTGGTTTATCAAAATTCTGAAAGATGAGAAAATATGAACGATAAAGAGCAGTCTATGCTTATATAAACAAAATATATATCCTAGAATACACGGTCTTGGTAACCACTATCAGCCATACTAGAACTAGGTTTTGCTGGCCCTCCAGGTACTTGATGATGAGGATGACGTATGTGACCAGGACGTCTTGGTGGGGCTAGGTACTCGAACATGCTCTGCGTATGTTGCGCTAACATTTTGCTGAGATCACAAGGCATCGGATCGGTCCAGAAAAAGTCATGATTCAACGCAGAATCGGAATCGAATCTTTTAGACGGATCAAGAATTAAAAGTCTATCTAACAAGTCACAGGCATAAGGATCCTTTAAATATGGTTTTAATCTGTCCTTAACCTGTGCAGAAATGTTCATTTTGAATACATTGTTTATAGATGTTACATATTTTACTGAAAATGAAAGTAGTAATTACCTTCCGTTTTTGGCCTTTGGGTAAGTCCATTTTGTTAAATAATTCTAAATTCTCTACTCCAGGCCATACTTCTGTTGTAATAGAACCACACAATTGTGAAATTAATATGAGCTGTTGTTGCTCTGTATTCCCCTGCATTATAGGTGATCTACGAAATTAAATAACGTAAAAGGATGCCAACAGACTAATAAATATTAGTAGAAGTATCGTTTAAAAATGCGAACCTGGTCCACATTTCAGCCATAATGCACCCTGCACCCCATAAGTCTACAGGGGGACCGTAGTTTCTATCACCAAGCAAAAGTTCGGGTGGTCTATACCAAAGAGTAACAACTCTGTTTGTATAACGGTTTGGCTGACCATTTTTATTTGCACTAAATGCACGAGCTAAACCAAAGTCGGCTAATTTCAATATACCATTTTTGGTGATCAAAACATTTGCAGCCTTCATATCTCTATGTAAAATCTATTAAAAGGTTGTAAAAATTAATATATAGTTGTTACTTACAATATAGAATCTTTTTTTCATTAATTATACAATTTAAATATGCTTACCTTATTGCTATGAATATAATAAAGACCATTTAACAACTGTTGCATAACTTTTTTAATTTCTCCTAAACTAAATTTGACATTTACATTTGACAATAATCCAGCTAAGTCATGTTCGCAAAAGTCAAATACAAGATAGAACGTAGAACGATAACGATTATATTGAGTTGCTAAAACAAAAATTTTCACAGAGTTATTTAGTTATATATTATCCATATTACACAATAATATCAAATATCTACCTCTTGTCCTACATATTTCTATTAAATTCACTACATTTTCATGTTTCAATAACTGCAATATCCTTATCTCTCTTAAAGCAGTTATAGGGAACTGTAAACAAAAAAAAATGATTAATGTTATGTTATTATACTTATGCAAAAAGGATTGAAACGACGTCTTAGGTTGTTTATTTGCGCATCTTTCGTTAATTTTCATATAAGGTATATACTACATATTTTAATTTAACCCATTAAGGACCAATATTGGGATAATGTAATGTGTCATTAGAAACTTTTTTCAATCTATTTTTACTATCAATTTTTAATTTTTAACGTTAGTGTTTAATGTATCTATAAAAGGAAATTTCAAAGATTCACTTAATATACTTTTTTGTCATTATTTCTTCTACTTCTTTGTCATGTAGATTGTAGAAATATTATAAAATTTACAGAAATTGAAGTATTTATAACATTATGATGAGTTATACTGCTTGGTCATTAGTGTTAATAAAATTCCTTATAGAAAATGAAATAAAATTATAATAAAATATTGTTTTTATACTATAATAATAAAACATTGTTCTGTATAATATTTAATATACTTGTGTAAATAGACGAAATGAAAAAAAAAATGGAAATATACGTTAAACGATCAAATATTTGAATGTATACATACCCCTTCCTTTTCATTGTCCATCAACACCTTTTTCATAGCTACGAATTTTTTACTACAATTCTTATCCCTAGCCTTGAACACCTCCCTATAGAACGGTCATGAAAATAATAACATGAAAAATAATTTTTCACTCGTATACGATTATAACCCAAAGGCGAGTGAAAATTTTCTATCAATCTTACCCGAAGGTGCCCTGGCCAATTTTCGCAACTTTTTCATATTTCGAGGATTCGTCGCAATGGGGGAAATCAAATTCTTCGATGTATTTCTCTTTTTCTTTCGTGTTCATCTTCGATATTCGTGTAGTAAATATGTAGAACTTGGGCAACAGAATAACATCGTAGCGAAGAACGCGATTAACCACAAAATATTTGACAGAATATTGGTATATCTGACATCAAAATAAAAAAATTAATCTCGATCCGCGCGCCACCTGGCGGAACCAGACGGCAGATAGCCTCACGCTTTCGTAGTAAGAACGGTCGTCGCATATTTATGCCTTTTGAACAACAAACAATCGAACGTTTGTTAGTATCGCATCGTTGATCTCCGCCGAATTTCGCAGCGGACGCGTTGGACAAAATGCGCGAGAAGATTACGACTCGTAATATCGCGTAATCATGATATATCCTGACCGGTGTTCGAGAACCGAAATAATGCGAGGTACGTACATATGTATGTACGAAGTACGATCAATAAATTATTGAGAAAGTCTTGTCTAGAATACATATTTGATATAATGCTTCAAGCTTAAAAGACACTTAATTTAAAACATTTTCATATATTTCGAATTTTCTTTAAATACATATGCTGCATACGAAAGTACTTGCTAACCAAGTGTATCTTACTCTTAATATCTAAAAGTAAGCCGTGCTTAGGGTACATACGAAGATGCGCTAAATGACAGTTAACAAGGTGTGTTCGATCAATGTTTTACAAAAATTTAAAACATATCATTTCTCAATGACTCGTTTTCTATTGTATCTTATCAATTGTTATATGTGTTCTCATTAATCAATCGATTATGCGGTATTCCACCTCCTAACGTAATTTTTTTCAGTTGAATGTTTGGATTCCTACTTTTGAACTGTACTAGGATTACACGTTTATTTTTGGCTTTCACATTTTAATTTTATTTCAGGTACTAGATTCGCGTTTCAAATGTTTAGCGAAATATTTCATTCACCAATCCATATGCGATTACATATTAAATTTAAGGTTAAACAGAATTAACTATGAGATACATGTTTTACTAAATGTTATACACACAGTTTTAAAGATATTTCCGACAGAAAATTATATAATAATTTATTATCGAATACGCAATAGATTTTAAAGTATCATATACAGCATATGTAACGTGATAGAACCAGTATTTAAATATTGAAGATACCGTAAAAGGATTAGTAATTGCTATGCAAGAAGTATCCATTGTATTGACCTTGAAATTGTTGTGTACTTTGTCAGCAATACATACATTAAGGGAAGAGTATTTAATGTCCTTTTTGTCTGCAGACTTCTTTTATCCTGTTTACTTTAAATTTTATTACTTGAAAAAATACCAAATATCATAACAAAAATTACACAGAAACAATAAATTTTTGTACACAGAAAACATGATCTATAAAAATATTAAATATGATATATTATTGTAATATTTTTTTCTTACATATAACTACTACTTCAAATAATGTTTATATTTATTTTGCCTCTTTGTTTGACCTTTTTTACATTAAACATTAATGGATTAAAGGTGAACAAGTATGAAAGATTAAACATGTCCCATGGCTGGAGGCAGGGGCAACAACAGTCAAAGTGGAAATTTAGACAGAATACATCAATGGCTATGTTGCCATCAACTTTATGCTTCTGTCAAGCCTGAACCTCCTTCCAGTGAAACATTTAAAAAACATCAACGTATAGAAAAGAGCCGAATTGTTGCAAAAAGTCTTAATGATCTGCAAGATAATATTTTGAGGTAAATGAATAGTTTCCTATCTAACTCACAGATTATTATTATTAAGTCAAAAAATAATTTAACGGATAATTAACTTAAAATAATGCTAATATTATTTGTTAATGTTTTCGTATAATACATGAGATAACAAATATAAATATCTTCATAAAAGCCCTTGCATGATATAATTGAGCAGTTTCAGTGAATTACTTTGTGCTATATACTTTAATTTGTGTAATTGATATGTATAATATCGAGTATTGGAACAACTAGTAAATTGTACAAAATTATGGAACATTTGAAAATTCTAATTTAGAAATTACTTTTAGCAAGCTTTATTTTATTATATCATATTTGTTGCATCTGTATAAAAATTGTCTGTATAATTTATTATTGAATTGTAACCAATGAGAATGTATTTGTATAAAGCAATTTATGTGTACAAAATATAAGCTCATAAGTACATAAACTGAATAGAGTGTTTTATTGTAGCATATTTACGGACTCTTTGTATTGTGATCTTAACATAGTACATGGACATAATATAATACGAACAAACCAATGTATTGTTAAAACAAGAGCTCCACACTTTTACAAGGTTCTCAAGCCTTATTTTGTATACATTAACAATCATATTGATTGCATCATTGATAAACTGGAAATTTTTCATCATATAGAAGGCTTTGTGAGGTACTGCCATATCTCTAATCACTTATATAGAAGCAGTATCTATGAGAACTATATATTTATTATTTACATATTGCAGGCTATACCTACAATATGGACTCTTGTTTAATTCAGGAACATTTGTAAAAATTTGTAAAAATTACATTCATTAAGATTTTTAAATATGTGAAATAATTTAGATATTATTTTTATATCACTCAAAAAAATGCAAGTTTTCCTGAATTAACATTTTCGAAGTTCCATGTATTCTTTTATATAAATTACAAAATGTTTATTTGCATGCATTTTGTATAAATTATGTATTAAAAATATTTCTTTAATAAAATATCATATATTGTTTCAACCATCAAGAAATTGTGTTTTATATATATTGTTATCTAGATGTAATCTCGTAATATTGCAATTGAATAGAAGTTCCCTTTAATCAATGATTTAAAAAGTTATAAATAATCATTATTAATAATGCTATAAAATTTGTACAATAAGTTATTCTCTTTATTTTCTTGTGTTTTTATTTCTACACACATCTAGTGTCTTTAAATATTACTCTACCTGTACAATAAAATATACATTACACTATTTAATGGTATATGTTATGACAACCAGCATGTAACACTTAATTTCCCACTTTCGAAATAAATGTCATAGAATGCACACGATAGAACAATGTATATTAGATATGTCTTTCTCTCTTTCCATGTGTATTGTATATTTGTTAATACTGCTTTATAAATTTTCAGGCTTTTATACAGCAATTCAAACTTTTCGAAAGAAGAACGATTATTGGTAGAACATATTTTGCGTACTTATACCTCAGATCTTGTGAATGCACCGTCTGATAATAAAGTTTTAGACATCAACAAAAGGTTACCATTTATAATTATAGTATTTTAAAGTTTTAATGTTATATATATATATATGTATTTTTCATTTTAATATAAACTAGATGCTACTACTTTTAATAATTATATTTGAATAATGATAAAAGCATATATATATATATTTATTTATTTATTATATATGTAATTATATTTATAAATAATTATCTTTATGTCAAAGATATGTGGATTGCACAACACCAGACTGTCATTCAAAAAGCATTGAAAGTATAAGAAATGTAAGAGAATATGCTACTGTGGATATAAGTCCCACTGTATCCGACATGGCTGATTCTGGATTAGAAACAGGTTCTGTAAGTCCACACGAAAATACTACGTCTGAAAATTCGAGTACTGATTTTGAGGAACTACAAGTCACAGAATATGCTTCTGGGAATGATGATTTGGATAAGATACGCGCCAATAGACGCGTGCACAACAAAGATCAAAAAGTAGTTTCAAAAAATGAACGCTATAATCTGACTAACAATTATAACAGCCATATAAAAAATCTGGTAGAATCAGGATTAATGGAATGTGGTTCAAATGATAATAGTGCAACAAGTTGTTCTTTTGATGCAGAACAACCACAATTAGATTCGTCCAGTTCATCTACAGATAATGCTCAAAAGGCGAAGTCAAATACAGACGAAATTTTTCAATATGAAAACCAAGTACTTAGCGATCCATTTTACGAGTCAGACTGTGGAAGTGATGAAAATGAATCATTTGAATTTATTAATGTTGGTAATGCGTCTTCTCCAAATACCAATGTAGAACAGAGTTGCGTGAAGGAAGAACCTACGGAAAAATCGGAAGACGAGAAAATGTGTCATTCCAGTTATTCACAAGCTGAAAATGTTCCATCAGAAAATGCAAATCACGAAGTATCACACGATACACGCAATCAAAAAAGTTCCTGTAATACAAGTAATTATTACTTTATTGATGCATCAACCCTCAATGATGAAATAGAAGTTCCAACTTCCAATGTAGTAAAAACTAAATACAATGAAAAATCACATCCATATGTTTCTTATTCTTCTAAATATATTGCAAGTACATCTAATGATCTCGCCGATGAGCAATATTACAAGTTCACACCTCTTAAGACAACTAATTTGCAAACTGGACACGAACGGATAGCAGAGTTTGAAAAAGAGTTGAAACTTACAGAATATCTGGAACCACTTACGGACACGCGAAGAATAAGAAGAACTGATTCTGTGTCAGAAGACAAAATTAACGTTGAAACAAACAAAGAATCTTTAGCCGTAGAAATTAAGGAGGCGGATAGTGGTGAAAGCGCGCATCCTTCTCCTTGTCCTGACAATAATAAAAATATAAATAACGATCGACACGTCGTAACACGAATAAGTAACGATAACGATAACGCAAGTGCGATAATAGTGGCTAAAAAAGAAACAATCGAAGAAACGAACGATAAGCAAACGACAAATAAAACGGATGATACACGACGACCTTCGCTTATTAGGAGGAATACGTTTGAGCTGGACTCGAACGACGAAAAGCTTTCAGTGCTACGGCAGGAATATGAACGACGACAAGGTAATCTCGTATTCCAGAATGCTATTCCTCAATATTCAGGACATCGTGTTGATGGCGATTCATGTTTTAATCCACCGGACGAACCTTCAATTCCGATAAGCAACGTATTAAATAAGTTTCCAATTGATGTTCAAATTCCAACTAGTAGTCAGTATCATACAATACCATATCTTCCACGAGATAATGGAAAATATGAAAGTAATCAGACACCATCAGAAAATAATAATTCTTTGCAAAGTAAAACTAACATAATTTATCCGGTAACCAAAAGTGCTAGTGATGAAGTAGTTATGGATTATCATGCAGAACTGGATAATGATTCAAGCAATTGTAGTAGCAGTTTACCTGTTACATTAAGTTGCATTCTAGAAAAAGATAGCAGAACAGATACGATAAAAAAGACTAAGTGTGACGAAACTATGCCTATTATTTCCGGTGGAGTTAGCACTTCGGACTATTCTAAGCCTACTGATAGCCCCACTGTGCGCCGAAAAACAGAATCGACACCGATCGTTTCTGGTGGCTCTGTTATTATGAACGAACCCGAGGTGAAAATGAGACCTACGAGAATGTCTTCGTCTATGACTGCATGGGTGGTTGATATGAGTGACTGTAACAAAAATGAATCCAAACTACCGAATAATTCTCATGCAGGAATGTCTCAAAGTTTTTCAAATTCAGAATGCATAAAGAAACCGGTAAGGAAGACAAGTGGTCATGAAAAGCATGGCAGCTTAGGATTTTTCGTTAATTTGAAAGATATGGATCGCAAACCTATTTTGCAGCAGCAAAGTTATTCAACAGATAAGAAAGAACAGAATGGATGCAGTAAATCTTATTGTGAATTTTACGTTGATATATCTGGTACAAGTAATGCACCAAAAAATAAGAAAATAGAAGTAGAAGAACCTACTGTCAAACCTGAAAAGTTTAATGAAAGCGGCGACAAGAAAAACATTTTTTCTATGTTCATTGATTTAAGCGATCCACCAAAGAACAAAGAGAATATTGTACCACCTTCACATAGGAGAAGCTTTTCCGCATTCTCTGACAAACAGATAGAAACAAAGTTGGATGATACTAATTCTAGCGAAAATAGTATCACGACGAGAGAAGATCAATCATCGAGTGAACAAAAATGTGTCAGAGAAAAAGCGAAACCGAGCGTCTTCATGTATATAGAATCTGATTCTCCGGTGGTAAGAAGGAGAACTTTGTCGTCATCACGGCCGGCGTTTAAACGACATTCCTGGAATGTTGATAAAACGCAAGGCGTTAACAACAATGGGCATGTTGCGAAAGAATTAATGTTTAGGAAAGAACACAAACGCGCACACAGTCTGTCCGTAGATCGGGGAGACTTAAAGAAGTTACGAGCAAAGCCTAGTTCTTCGAGTCACTCTTTAAGTGACACAGCAAAACAAGAATCTGTTACCCAGAAAAATTCTAAACTTCTTCAAGAAGGTAATAACGGTCCAAGTAATATGGACACATCTTCAGAAGATGTTTTTGAGTTTGATGCGAGAGACACACCTCCGAACTCTCACGTTGAAGTGATCAACGAAGAACTTCGTGTCAGTGTGAAAGAACACGAGTACACGGAATTAAAAACAGAAAGAGTCACGGAAAATCTTAATGCTACCGATGCTAAGACATACGAGGATGAATATTCGGAAACATCGGCGTGGGAGAAAACATGTACAGAGAGTACTGAGGGACAAACACGCAAAAGTGAAACATTTGATATTAGTAGCGGTAGTGGTCCATCCCCTGATAGTGACAATCATGACTATGAATTATCAGAACTATTGAACGGAGAAGTGCCAAACATAAATCGACCACAAGTAGTTCCTGCTGTAGGTAGTAAAATATCAGAAACGCATAAGTCTTTAAATGAAACTATCAAAAAGATTGAAAGCGAATTGAAAAATTCAGATTATGTAAAGCCAGAGACAGAATATGATAATCATAATATAACATCAAAAAAAAATGAAAGGACTACAGCACACAGTACGAAAACAACAACTTCCAACTTCGTTCGATTGTCTGATTTGGATAAAACACCCGTGGTTTCTCATTCTACGGACATGTTGACTGTAAAAGAAGATAAAAGTACCTATCGTATGTGCAACAGTATTCCAGAAACTTCATGGATCGAAAGTAAATTAGTAATGTCTAGAACTAACGGATCCGTTAGACCACTTCCTAGAAAATTTACTTCAATCATGAGTACTTCCCTTCCATCTAAACAGAAATCTCCGCTTGAGGACTTAACAGGGGAGTATGATGGAGAAGGAATTATATCAGAATCTGATCTGAGCAGCATGCAGAGTAGCATGGGTCGTTCTGGTGCTGGTGTGTAATTTATTATATTAGAACATAGGTGCAATCAAAGTGATTACGAACTGTTAAAGTATTAATTGTTATTTCATTTTTAGAAGGAAGTACAGAAGAAACTGAAACATCTAGTTTGGCAGGAAGTAGACCATACAATAGATTGGGAGAAGATTTATTAAGAATGTTCTTAGAAGAAATAAATCCAGATGTTACAATTGACGTAGCTGGACGTCGTATAAGAGCTCACAAATGTATATTGAGTTCCCGATGTCAATATTTTGCGGCGATCCTTAGTGGTGGGTGGATCGAAAATGCAGGAAATGTTATTTCTCTGCAAGGATATTCTTACGATGCGGTACATTTTGCATTGTGTCACATATACAGCGGAGAAAGCAACATACCAGATTCCATAAGTATTGTTGAATTAGCTACGTTAGCTGATATGTTATGCTTGGAAGGTCTTAAAGAAATTATTGGATATACGCTTAAAGTTAAATATTGCCATCTATTTCATAAGGTAAGCTCATGAGGTCTGCTTTCATAACAAAATTCCCGACTAGCAATTGTTTGTTGATCATTCATATTAATTTACAGCCTTGTCAAATATGTGCTGTTGGTGTATTGGAATGTATGCCTCTGGCAGCAGCTTATGGCCTCGACGAAGTGTATCGAAAATCTCTTCGTTGGGTTACGAGACATTTCGTACGAATATGGCCATGTAAAGCATTTGCGACGCTTCCGAAAGAACTTATGGCAAAATGTTATCATCAACATATTGTACATATGGTATGTATTATATCAATTATTTGACATGTAATTTATCCTGAAATCTAAATAATTGTCTTTTCTGTATTTATTGTAAATAACAGTCCACGGATAACGTGCTTCAAACTATGATGGATTGTGATAAGCTACTCGCAACTTTGCCAAATGTTCGTTGGGCTGAACCAGTGTTTAGAATGGTTTCAAACTTGCTGGAAACTTCAGTGAAGTTTCTGTCGGATAATTTCTCAGGAGTTCTGGGCAACGAAAACTTCCAATCTCTTGGTCGAGAGTTAACATGGAATATCAGTCGACTGGAGGATAATTTCTTAGCAGCTGCCGAACGTTTACCTCCTGAACAAGCATGTAAAAGTTATTCAAAATTGAATAAAATGTTAACTTCAGCACAACAAGATGAGGTTCAAGACAAAATTAAGTGGGGACCTTTGTTTGTTGATTTTTTGAAAAAAATTCAAAGTCGAGTAGAGAAATGCTTGGTTAGAGATGCGGCGCGAGCCGCTAGAACTACTACGTGGTTAAAGATGGACTTGGAGCTTCGACGCAGAATTCAAGAATTAGCTTGTCTTGTAATTTTACCTCACGAAACATCAAAACGTCAGTCAAGGCACTCTAACTTTATAAAAGTACATAATACAAATTATAATTAAACGCTTTTTACTGTTGAAATAGTTTTCTTTTTTTTTAATGTATTTATTCTTACAGGAAACTAGGCCAGCATCGAGCCGCTCAACTATTACTAACAGAAGCTTGGATTTGAAGCGCGTGAAGATGGCTATATCTGAACATAATCATAAAACTCTAAAACAAATGGCAGTAGCTCAACAACAGCAACAACAACAACAACAACCGAAGAAAGTTTTTAATAAACCAAAAAGCGATCCATTGGAACGTAAAATGCAAAATGATAAACAAGCCACTACAGATACAACAAATAGTAGGCCAAAATCATGGCCTAACAAATTAGAGGTAATTTTCTATCACTTGAATACTACCACGGTAAAGAATTCATTTCAAACATAATTTTATAAACAGATTAAGAAAATTGTAAAAATGTCATGTTTTTCGAAATCATTCATACATTAACTTTTAGGTAAAATCGAGATATTTGGAACCTCGGAACAAATCAGTCCCAAAAGAAACTACGCAACCAGTACATCAAGAAAAGGTCATGGTACAGCAACGACGAAAAATAATGATTTCATCTTCAGATTCATCTCGCACATCTAGTCCGGCAATGAAACGGGCTACCGACAAAAAACCATTAGCTAAGATAAAGTTACCTATAAAGAAAGATGTAAAAGCACTTTCTTCTGATAGTTTAACAGAGTCGAATGCCAGCAGAACTAATACGAAAAACGATTCGATCAGTAAAAGTTGCGGTATTACGCGTCCAGAATCTCCGTCTTTTAAACAAAAAAATACGGAGATAGGCTTATCTGTAGATTCTTTAGCAGAATCGAAGAACAAGCCAACAGTTGTAAAGAAGAAGGCTACTAAAATGGACACTTCGATGTCCACGGATAGTCTTATGACTGAAATAACAACAACGCCCAAATCAAACACATCAAATAAACTTTCACCGACTTTAGGGAAAACAATAAATAAAGCACAATCTTATGATAAAACAGCGAAGAAGAGCTCACCACCGATGCAGCAAAAAAATCTGCTTACAGCGACAAGAAGACCACGAAGATCATTAGAGAGTTCGACCGCAGCTAGTAGAAGCCGGGCAGCTGCTATTAGTGCTTATCATTTGCGAAGAAATCTTCTAGACGCTGCAAAAACTCCAGATATTCCAAGTAAGTCATTAAATAACGTATCGTGTAAAACGGTAACTATGCGATCGATTACACAATCGACAGTTAATCATCCTAATATAATGAGAGAGAAAAAGGAAGGAGTGACGACTCAACAAAGCTCCGAGAGCCCTAGCAAAAGATCTTCCCCTAAATCATGTGGCACTAGTAAGATAAATAAGCCTATGGTCACTAATAAAAGGACAACTACTACAAAGACCTCTTCTGATGAGAAAGTTAAAAATAAGTGCCATAATGGGGAAGTTCCAAAACAACCAACCGTAGGTTCTAGATCGGGAACGTTTTTAAAAGATGAGCCCACGATTCTTAAGAAGGCAGATATTAAATCTTCTCAAATTAACACTTAAATTTATGAATTGGTTGCTATGTAAGTTTTTATACGTACATAGCGCCCATAGTTTAATGATTATACATATAAAACTATCGTCTTTAATCGCAAACGTGATAACTCCAACCGCGAAATCGTATTATGTGTAAAAAAAAAATAGAGTTATATATAATTTTAATTTAAAGCAAGTTGCAGTTGACATTAATTATCAAAGGAAATATATTTAAAATGCATTTATTAGGTATATAGAAAAGTGCTATGATTTTGTTGTAATGTTGAAGGTAACTGTAAAATGAAATATGGCACTAGGAATATGCAAGTTAAAAATTATTATATTTCGTTTTTTCAATTATCTTGATCTCTGACAGTGTGGAAATTTGAGTTTTAGAGAATTTTCAGTGTCTTTCAAATTCAATTAAAATATTACGCAACTAGAGAATATTGGTAATCAATATCACTTTCAATCATAAATGCAGCTAGCTTAAATGTCCCACCCGATTTTCAACCAATGTACGCATTAATATGTCATAGTATTACACACTGCATATTCATAGAATGTAGATGTATCATGGCCAGTTATACAATATATTTAGATAGACCTTTCTTTCTTCCACATTAAAGAGCCATATGATCCAAAATTGTTTTGTAGAATTATTTACTAATTTGACTAGTTGCAGTATATATGTAAAGTAATTCTTTCTTACCATTTAATGTTGCCATCGTACCAACTAATTCTTATTGTAAGTAGAACTCCGTTTACCCTCCAACGATCCTTATTAATGAATTATATGTAGTTATTGTATTTATTTATTAAATTTATATCTCTATTTTGCAATGTACATTTCTATGCAATATTTATATCTAGTCATTTATATATTTTAAATATTTACTTTTATGTAATGTTAATAAATAACTCGATATAATGTTAAAGAATCGTTTAATTCTTTAAATCATTATTTCTTATAAAATTTGGTATAATAGTAAAAATAATAGACATTAAAATTTTTATACAATCTCTCCCACATTCTACTCTGACTTTTTAAATACACATTTACATTTAACTCTAAATATACATAACAATAATATAAATAGGTTTTACACGTCTAACAATGTTCCTCGTGGTCTCGTTCTTTTCGGGTCTGCTTCAGGGGGTGGCATAGCTTTTCGTTTATTCATTCCTTTCCTTTCTAATTGTTTTTCTATTATTCGTGCATTATTAGCATATGAATCAGCAACTTCTCTCTGCAAATATAAAATATATGTTTTGATTATAAACTGCTTTTTACGAAAGAAGAGTACAAATTTATATGTAGAATTTTTAATAAATTTTTTATCTCTGAATATTAGATTTATAGCGTAGCATTGTGTATTTTCCTTCTGCGCAATATTAGAATCTAACATAATCATTCCTTATAGCATTTCATAATTTCTTCCAATTTATTTAGTGAAAATTTAGAAACTTTTTTACCCAAATAGCAATTTTTTACAAATAACGATAGTCTTTTTCTAGCAGAACAATTTATACGTAAAGACTAAGAATATATAATAAGAAAATCTGTAACTTACTGCCTCAATTTCATCTTCTTCTTCGTCAATTGTAGAAACGGTAACAGAACTGAATTTTCCCATATTCTTTGTGTGTTTTGTTACCATTATTTTCTTGGGTTTTTCAATGGCTACCTGATTATATATATCCGTCATTGGACCTTCACCAGAACTTTTGATTACTGCACCTTTTACAATAAATACAACATTTGTTGCTTGGTCATGTTTATAATAGAGAAAAAGACCACATCTGTAAAGATACATACATATATTAAAATTAACATCGTAATTTATAAAAATAACATAATGTAAATATCAGTGATTTAATTTTCAAAATTGTTCCCAAGTTTTTGATAAAAAGAAATAATGAAAAATATGTTTGAAAGTAAAACGAACTATGCCATACTTTTTACATTTTTGTCGATATTGTTTTTCAATCCCTTCAGAACGTTTTAAATATACAATTTCATCTTGCTCGCAAGTCATCTTGTGAGCATGTTTACTTCCATCGATAACTCGTGCACCATCTCTTTTCCTCAAAGGCAATTTTTCTATTGCACAATCTGCAAAAATATGTAAAAATATCTATTATGTACTTTTACTTATGATTTCTAACAAAATAAAGAATAATATATTTAATAAGCAAAGTGAACCTAAAATCAATGTCATCTGTCCACATAAGCAATAATAAATATGTAACGGTTTCTCTTCGCTATATTCTTCTTGATCTTTTGTATCGGAACATATTATACTTCTTGAAACTACTTTCGGCATTTTCACTTGAAATTATATGTTCGACTTATAGGTTAACAGCATTTCATATTGACAATTTCTATCTAAACTCTTGTTAATGTTTGGATCACTTTCAAACTTTCAACATTATCGATAGAATATATGTATGTAGAACGTAATTACATTCAATTGTAATTAAGTGCAACAGGCAATGTATTTATTATTTACACCGACCTCGAAAAGCAACACGATCAGTTAAGTTACCAAAACAACGCTATAATTTCATTTTATTCGAAATCTTAAGATGGTGCTAGCTATGCGCGAGACTAGTGACATCTGACGGCGAAAATCGTGTACCACACAGGATGAGCTAAGAGGATTTTCCAGTGCCTCCACTCCTGTGATCGAGAATTTCACTCCACACTCCGTATTCGGTCGCGATCGCAGTACGGTGTTCGACGCGCAGTCGAAGGAGGCCAGTCAAAGCGAGCGTAAGATGCCAATGTAGACAGTGAATCGCGCGACGTTCGTCAAGTAAAACGAGTATGTATAATGTGAATATATAGTGAGAAATCGGCGTGATATGGTGAACGATCAAGCTGCAATCGAAATCTTCAATTAGCAGTACGCGCGCGGTAATGTGATCAAAGAGCAGAGAAAGAAAAGGCTACGAAGGAAAAAAGTGCAGTGACTCTAGATTTGATTGGCGGTGCACGCAGAGAGCGGCCCTTCGTATACATACATATGTAAGTATATACACACGCCCGTATACACAAAAGCCTCATACGACAACTCTTTCTCGTCATCTCTCTCTCCTCTTTCTCTCTTTCTCTCTGCATTCCTGCAGTAGCTTGCACGTACTTGCACTTTTTTCCCCTCATTTTACATGAGATTTATGACCGCGCCCCCTTCGCAACTTGTTAGAAATAGATAGCTGCTTTGTATACGCACCGGCTCCCATTGGTGGATTTCGATTTCTTTCTTGTATCTCGCAATCGAATTTACAGAGAGAAGATTAAACTGATTCGTAGCAGAGAATGTAAGCGAGAGAGAAAGAAGAGAGGATATCGCGATACACACGGTATTATGTATTAATATGTAAATGCTTTGCGAGCCAGTGAATTTTTATGAATCGACTTTCGTGATTTGCGAAATATTCGATTGGTACGAGTGGTAAATTTCGCTGAATCGAACGCCGCTTTCTTTGTTTACCTTGTAACGCCACTCGACGCAGAACCTAAAAGTACACGTAATGCGTTATCAATGATACAATTTGAGATCTTTTTGTGATATAAGAATAGATTCTCGTAGGAGACTCTGTAGAATGAAATTAGCTACGATAGGATAGATATCTTAGATTATGACAAATATCGAATCGCGTTGGAAATCTTGTAATCGCTTATCTGTCAGCTGACGACAAGTCAGCCATGTCGTAGTTACTGGCAATCATTTCTGTATGTATCTGTCATGGAAGTTTTGAATCTTTTCCTTCGTTATTTTCTCGCAACATCGGATATCAGACAGCAAGGACGAATTTCGCGTTTTGGAGTGAAATCGTGAGTAAAGCTTGTTCCATCTCGATATGTCAATTTAATTATTTTTTATGATACTCTATGATAACTTTACGTGTTAGATGTGAAATAAAATTTTGTTTATAGTAATTGTTATACGACAATTAGTGATACGAATTAAAGTGACGTAAAGTTAAATATAATTATACGAATAGATCGTAGAAAATTATTTAGCAATAACTATACAGTGTGTTAACATAACGTTAACACATTTCTATAGTTTTGAGTTAGTGTAACATAGCTATATAGTTGACGCAAGTTATATACGAACATTTATATATAGTTATAATTAGTATATGTTAACTATATATATATATATGTTATATCAACTTAAAATCATATATTCTATTCTACAATAACTTTATTATAGATATAGTTATACATGTATCATAGTGCTTATATGCATGTAGTATATTATTATATATATTTATCCTCAAATATGGACACGTAATAACACTAATGCTTTTATTAGATAATTTCTATCGATTTGTAATAGTTTAACGGAAAGAAATAATCGTCAAATTCGATTCAATCTTACGTAATGATCTTTATTCGTAACTGAAAAAATGGCTTCTGTGTCAAACACAGAATTCATTTAGAATTTATAATGAATTCATTTCCAAGCTAATAATTCAATTCGTGCAATATTCGAGACTTTACATAAACAGCATGAAATATGCTTGATTTTCATGAAAATACAGTTAAGAGCGAAGCTGTATTTATTTTTGCATGTAATACAAAGTGCATTCACACGTCTTGCGCACAATGATCAAGACACTCGATCTATCGGTATTGACTGTCTTCGAAGGACAGCGACCAGAGTGAAAGAACTTCTGCTTAGCTAAACTAGCCTAACTGAACAGACCTCGGTTTTATCTTTCATCCCACAGCAGCGTACTGTTTGCCGTATCTTGTAAAACTGCAATTGTACAATTGCAATTGTTTGCTAATAATTCCATGTAGCATTACGCAATTTTCCATTTTCGTCGTGGCTGACATTTTCAGTTACTCTTTCTATATAAAAGTTTTTATTATATATCGTATAGCGATGAATCATAACTTTCTTCTTTTCGAACAAACATTTTTTTATTTCAAATAGTTTCACTGTAAGGGCGCAGAGGATTAGCTGGTCGACCATATTACAATGAGTTTTAGAGTACAATAGGCAAACACATATTCTTCAGTAGGTAAATAGAAATATATTTTTGCTCGTATTTCTTCAAGAAGCTTGATACTTCGGATTTAAGCCTAAGTTCTCTTTAAATTTTAAAATATTTTAGACATTTGTTAAGTCTAGCCTGCGGTTGTAGACGTAAAACAAATCTAAATATTTATCATACTTATGAATGTCCCTGCTACGTTGTACAATCTTACAAATCTTTGCTACGTTTACCAATAAAAATAAAAGGAAGGAAATTCGTAGACGAAATCGTATTTTGTTCATCGATCCACACGGTTTATACAACGCAAAGTCACAAAAATGTTGTCTCTAATGTTTAATCAAGCAAATTATTTCAAGAATTCCTAAACCTAAGAATTCTTTTCGTCGTCTTCCATCCAATGGAACATTAAAAGTTTATCTTTCTAACGTTAAAAAAATATCGCAAGCTTGTTCAAACGTTTGGCAACAAGACGAAGCAAATGTTATTAATAATCATTGTTATTTACTTCTCGTTCCAATTCTGACTCTATGCTCTTAAAATAGAATATTCTCGATATTCTTAATCCTTTTGGATTTTTAGTATTCTCTGTCGTTAGAAAATTCCTCGAGTTCGAGAAAAATACGAAAGAAGAATCGTGATATCTAGTTACGCTAAAAACCTTACACCGAAAATTGTTTTATTTATTCGATTTATTTATTATTGTTTAGTCCGTGCCTTTCGACTTTGGACGAACTTTCGGTTTTACATCTCTTCTTATACGTCTACCTCCCCTCTTTTCCACTCTGTTCTATTGCACTCCCTTGCTTATTCTACCTCTGAAAACTAAGCATTATCAACTATAAATTATCAACTAATGACTAGAAACTATTGCAACTTTGGTCTCTAGCCTGCTTGTTGTGGTTTTCCCTTCTTTTCTCTATCGTTGCTTTCAGTTCTGCTAGACCTTCTCCAGTCTCGTTTAGCGTTTTTCCTATGTCTTTTGGTCCTCCCGTTATTTCACATGAAAATTGTCTCGAAGCACTAAAATTCGTTTTGCTATTCGAAACGAAAGATTAAAAGGATACAGTCTCTCGGTATTCTTCCCGTTCTTTTCGTTTATCGAGACACGAAAACAGGATTGAAATATCAAAATTGGAAGAACGTGCTGGATCAAAGCAGACCTTATAAGCCAGCATGTGCGCAGCCTATGAATTGGCATACGATGGTTGTCGCGTTCGTGCGAACAATTTTTATATTTGTGTAACGTAGGTAGCTTAAGCGGTATCGTGTGTGGGTCGCGCGTACCGCTTTGTCGCAGATAAAAAGCCTCTCTCTTTCTCTCTCTTTGTCCTTTTTCGCGTGGTCGACAAAATTCAAGCCTCGTCGTCCACGCGCGTGGAAATATCGTTCGGACTCGCTCCTCTTTAGGGAATAGGCGAGCAACCTGCAGTTCCTATCGGATTAGAAATTTTTAGAAATCAATTTTTTTTTTATTTGCAAGGAGTTTACGATCGATTCTCATCGAGAATTATAAATAAATTATTCTGGCGTGGTACTATAACGCGAATAGTAGAAATGAATTAGCAGCAGGTTCGTCGTTCCCGTCTGCTCTTCTATCTCGATCCATGCGATTTCGTTTCGTCATGTTAAAAACAGCGAAATTTTTTAACGCGTTTTTACGATTCCTTCAACCCTTTGCACTTGTATGTCGAGCGTGACATCAGTTTTATCGGTTCCACTCGGCATTCTTTCGTGCCCAAATCAATAGATGTCCTAGAAAACCAGGATTGCATCGTGGAAATTGTTTCAAGATACGTCATACACTTAAAAATACAACAATAGCGCGAATAAAGCTGGTATTTAACGCTGGAACCACCGATAGTTAAGACGAAGCTGTTTCTACCAAAACCAGTGAAAATAACTGGTCTTCAAAAAATAATAGAATATTTGCATATTTATTGATTTATTACTTTCTTACAATTGTACTTAATTTTTTACGTATTGTTAATCCATTCGCGACTATGATCTCTAAACGAAGATCGACAAATTTGTATGTCGGAGATGAAAGGACATCGGGATTTTCCTTTTGGAATGTTGGAAAAAACCCCAATACCCTAGTCCAGACTTAGTTAAGACGAAGCTGTTTCTACCAAAACCAGTGAAAATGATTGGTCTTCAAAAAATAATAGAATATTTGTATATTTATTGATTTATTACTTTCTTACAATTGTACTTAATTTTTTACGTATTGTTAATCCATTCGCGACTATGATCCCTAAACGGAGATCGAGAAATTTATATGTCGGAGATGAAAGGACATCGGGATTTCCCTTTTTGGAATGTTGGAAAACACCCCAATACCCTAGTGCAAACCTTTACTATAGCTACACTCAAGTAATAAAAATAAGAAATAGTTTTAATGTTCCAATTCGATTTTATGACGATGGGCTAGGGTTCGAAGTGACACAGCGGGTCACTGAACGTGTAGCCACGGTCACGGGAGAGACGTGTACTTGGCAGAGATATGGAATGATTATTTGGTTTTCCTTAAAAACAAAGATCGACCCGAGA